GTGTGTGTGTGTGTGTGTGTGTGTGTGTGTGTGTGTGTGTGTGTGTGTGTGTGTGTGTGTGTGTGTGTGTGTGTGTGTGTGTGTGTGTGTGTGTGTGTGTGTGTGTGTGTGTGTGTGTGTGTGTGTGTGTGTGTGTGTGTGTGTGTGCATGCGTACATACATATATACGTATACCAGCGATCCTTTTTTGGAATGGAAAAAAGAGGGAAAATATCGATTGTTATTATTATTACCCTGCTCATTCGTGATCGAATTTAAATAAAACGAACCTCGACTCGAGCGATCTTGTTTCGAAATCGAAAGTTTAAGGCGAAATCGAGAATGGCGATAAAAAATTCGAAATTTCCTCTCTTTGGAATTAAAAATCTGAAGAGGAGATAGAGGAGATTATATTTCGTTTATTTGACAAATTTGTTATAATCCGTAACTTGGAAACTTTTGATTTCGATTCTAAGGAGAAAAATAAAAATGATATTAACCCTTTGCGCTCGGCTCGAGACGATTTCACGCGTTCGATTAACGTATGAAACTTTTATATTTTAACATTTTACGTATCTTCACGTTCTTTTACGTATAAATAAAGTCGAATCCTTCTCGACTTCTGTTACACGTAACATTCACCCTGTCCGTATTGTTATTTTTTGCCCGTCGCTTCGTCTCTATCTTCCTCACTGCTCCCCTCTCTCTCTATCGTCAATTTCTTCGCTCGTCCTCGCTCGAGGCTAACCGTCGTCATGCTTGCAAAAAAAACTCTCGAAAATAATATTCCACGTTCCACGAACCGTGAAACTCGAAACCAAATGTCGAAGTTAGAGTCCTATCGCGATCTTTGAATTTGAAATAAGAAAATCCACCTATTCGACGTTATATTATTCGTGAGATTGTACGTAAAGAGGTTAGGAATTTATTCACGAAGAGATATTCCGAATAAATAAATTTATTATCGCTGTTCGAAACCAAATGATACTTGAGAGAAAGAGAGAGACATGAATTCAAGCGCAAAAAGTTATTAAAAAGTATTATACAGGAAATTCGAAAAGGATTCGAAGATCTTGCCTCGAAATATTCAGCTTACTTCGTGATCGTGGCTCCAAACGATCGTGGACGGTGGCTCGGGAGCGTATCTGACCAGGCACGTCAGGTTTATCGTGCTGTCCTTGTTGATGAACATATCCGGCCCTCCGGCGATCTCTGTGACCGGCTCTGCAATCAACGGATCCAGAACACTTTCGTATCTCGAGAAATGAAACATGATGGATGATCGGCTTTTTTAATTATAAGTTAAAAGTGTATAAACGCTTTTAATCGAAGAAAATAAAAATAAAAAATTTAATTTTTTTCGGTAAAAATTAATGATCGAAGAAACGTTAAGAGCGTATATAGAGAATTGGATTAAACTAAAAGAAATGGAACACGCGAGGGGGACAGAGAGAGAAAAGGAGAGAGATAAAACTCTGGAATGGGAATCATGCGTCAAGCACGGTGATGAAAGGTTTTATATTCATTGTTTCGCTCCACGTCTAAACGTACATTTATAAATCGCGTGGAGCTGCAAATTATTGTTTTTTTCCGCGCAATATTTCTCTCGATTTGTTGGATATATTTTTATAGCTATTCGATCCGATATCCGATATTTTATTTTAAAGCTAGAAATCCAGTTTAAAATCGGGGGGGGGGGGGATTCTTAATTAAAATGGAAAAATTCGACGGTAGAATCTAGAACAACGCAACCAAATGTACTTCGTTCGTAAAAAAAATTCCATCAATTTAAATTCTAACGAACTAACTTTCCAGATTTTTAAATCGTTCAAGAGATTCGACCGAGTAATTGAAACCTGAATTTTTTTTATATATTTATCTTATCCCATCTTTCCATCCATTTTTCTTTCGTTCTTTTTATCCAACTAAAAATATTTTATTCGAACCAAAAGGTTCTACCCATACCAAATGGTTCTAAGAAAATTCGAATTTACTTTGAAAAATTTTCGCTCCTTTCCCGTCGCAATTTCAAATATTTTTCATAACAAAGCATTAAAATTTAAATATTTGGAAAACTTGATGAAAGATAATGTAACTTATGATTAAAATCGAAATTGAACCATCTTTAACGACGAAAAAAAATAGTTTCGATCCTTTGACGTTTTGCTTTTTCTCCGCGGTTATCGTTAGAGACAAGGGGAGGGGAAGGAAGGTCGGTCGGTCGGTCGAGATAAAATCCAATAACGTTCTCGAGGATCTCTGAACGATCGATATATATATATATATCTCTCTCGAGAAGAGAAGACTCGGCCAAGGAGAATACCGATTGGATCGATCGATGCAAAGGGAACAACTTCGCTCTTTTTACGAAGAGGAGAAGAATTCGCATCGCGTACAATCAACGAAAGGCCGAGGCTACTTTGGAATGCGTCCACTCGCTCGTCGGTGGATCGTTTATTGAACCGTTTTGATCGAACGTTGTTCTGCAAACGTGTTACCGCGAGATACGAAAATTGAATAAATTTCCAGCAACGAGCAATTCGAAGCTTCGAAACCGACCAAAGTTTTTACTTTGCTTCTAACGGGGAGGGGATGAGAAACTTCTGAAAAAGAACGTCGTTGAAGAAAATATCTTATTTTTACTATTTTTCGTTGTAATATTCAAATGTAATATCAAAGTCGGGGGGGGGGGGGGCTTGTTTAAGATGTTTGGTTTCTGAGAAATTTTATTTATTTATATGACAATTAAGTAGCATTTATTTGAAATCCATAACGTGAAATAATGGAAATCTTGGAAAAATTTTTATTGTAAATATATTTTTCTTCTCTTTTTATGTAAAATTAGATGTTAAATATTTTGAGGCATACTTTAGAACAAAAAAAAAATCATATAATTCGACACGAAAAGTAAGCTTTCAGAATTTGAATTTACTCGATAAATTTTTATGAGAAATATCGCAAACTAATAAAAAAAAATAATCGTTTTCATTGATTTTATAAATTCATAAATTAATAAAAAAAAAAAACGATACAATTTCTCTTATACAAAAATAATTTTTGTATGAAGAAATTTAAATTAGATTAAAGAATTATATCTACTAAAAATAATACTAAAAAAAATAGAGGTTCTTTGAAGCCACGTATTCCTCAAAACATCGTATGGTTGTCACACGACGAGAAGAAGCACGATGTCTTAAGCGTTCGATGTCGAGTTCGGATTATCTGACAAGCTCGGGTTCCGGATTTCCTTAGTTTGCTGGCCAACTTCGGTGCTGCCAACTCGAAGACCTTCATTTCCTCTGTCCTTCGACTGTTGAATGCGCCGCAATAATATCCACGATACAACGTAACGATTTACGGATGTTTCCATAAAACTGTCGTCCCACTTATCGAGATGGAACGAAACGAAAGATTCGTTACATTTAATTTACCGACATAAGTCAATCAAGTATTTAGGTAAAAATTCAAATGTATTCTTAAATCGTCAATCCAGTTCGAAGAGAATTAAAATAAACGTTTCGTCATAGAGAATATTTTGAACGAATTATTACATATACATATACTGTCTTTTTTTTTTTTTTTTTATTTTAAATGGCATTTCTGACGAAGCTCTCTGTTATTTATTAATTCGTGAGCATCGACAATTTTCGCGAATACTTGTGATGTTTCACAAGTTAATTTTAAGCTAAAAGAAGCATATATTATATCTATCCTGTTTCATTTCTCGTCTTTAAAAATGCCCGTTCGAACAATATATATACAAGTCATAAATGCAACACGATCTTTATGATTTGTTTTCAAACATTTTCGTACGTAAACTCCACGTGCTGTTCACCGTTGGAAAGAAGTCTCGCGGGACGGCGGAGGGGCAAGAGGGGTCCTTCGCTTCGAAGACCGTTTATCCCCACTTCACACGCTTTGTTGACGATCCTTACAAAACCACACGCTACATAGACAGATAGAAGAGCTACAATTTGAACGTTCGTGAAAATTATTTTCACTTATGGAAGTTACGTTAGAAAATCTCGTTTCGAAACTATTAATTATTTCGATGCAAAATTACATTTATAAATTAAAACTATCGTTGGAAATCGTAATTAGCCTATCACGAGAAATGAAAACATTAGATTTAATATATCATGATAAAAATAAAAATGTGCGTAAAAATGGATTACAAATACAAAAAAAAAAAAAAAAAGAACAAATCAGAATATAATTCCAATGTATATAAGAGGCAAACTCGAAGCATATCGGATATAGTAAAATTCAGATTTCACCGAACGGAACGATTGTTTGAGTTCCGCGTCGGAGGAGGAGGAGGATCCTCGAAATTTGGTCGGAGGGAGAGGAAGGGTGCAAACATTGACAATAGTAATCATGTTGTCGGTGCGGTCTTGTTATTCCCCGTGGCATTTTGGGAGGAATAACAGGTTTATCCGTTCGCCCTCTGTCGACTCGAGGAGGAGAGGAGAGAGACTCGAAGTGGTCGGGGAGGAAGGGAGGGCAACAGGGATTCCTCGAGTTTCTCGAATTCTCTTTGGCAAGTCATGATTTGCTGACCAACCCGGTGTTCCACCTTCAATTTTCGACCACGTTTCCCTTAAGAGGCCCAGGTCCTGCGCATTCTTCGACAAATACGTCCTCCTGTAAACGAAGTTGCTTCTCTAGGTGGCAAGGAGAGAAGAGGCAAATTGCTTCGTACGACGTCAGCTTACCACCGCTCGAATAAATTGGTTTCGAGAATCCTGTCTTATATAAGATTCAGAAAAACGAAAAAGTAAATTATACATTTTCGTTTTTTTTTTTTTCTGGGAAATTGGTGTTGTTGCTCACAGTGTTGTTCAGTTGTTACCTGTATTTGAACAGAGAGATGGCGCTAGTCAATAACAACAGGTCAGGTAATAGTAGGACGCAGCAAGTTTTGCTCCTTTGGGGCAATGTATTCGATAACAGGGGCTGAGATTTGAAACCCTCCTCGCCACTCTCTAAACGAACACGACAAGCGATGCAAGGAGGATCTCGTTATCCCCCTCTTCATTCCCCTATCTTACTAATTGCTCGAACCTTCCATTCTGCGGTAGTCTTATTGCTTTTTAGTGTGTAGTTTTTGGTAGCATTGTCTTTAGACAATCGTTCGTCAGCATTGCGCAATGTATTGAAGTCTGAACGTCCTCCATATTTCAGAATCGCTGAAAACTCGTAAACACGAGCAATTATAGCAATTACAGGTCCAAAGTTTCGTTGCCTCCACTCGGCTAATTTTGGCAGCGCTTATTAGTTTTATTCTCGACGCCGGCCAACCACGAGCAATAGGCCGAATATAATAGTATAAAATTTTCATCCCACTAATTTCCCAGCTCCCGCAGGCCGGTTTCTCGTAGCATTATTCATGGACAGCCGTGTGGACAACGTATAATGGCCTCTAATTTCGCTTCCCGTGAGCTTTGTCCTCGGCATCGCCCGCTGAAACCTCACCCACGACCACTAAGTGCTGGCACCCACATGACATAAACTCTCTCCTCCTCTCTCTCTCTCAGAAACAGCAATTCACACAGATCCAGTTCACAACCTTGCCCGCCTGATCCTCGACCTAATCCTCAAGAATTATTAAACGAAAGAAATAAGCAGGATTTTAATTTTCTCGGAAAAATTCTCGATAAAATCGAAAAAAAAGAATCTCGAGACGGGACTCGAGAGAGAGAGATATCTTCCACCTCCTCCTCCTCCTCGAAGAAGTCTTAAGCGTTGCTGCCCCTTCAACGGCATATTGCTTCTCCTCCGGGAGAACATGGAGTGGAAGCGAAGGAACAAGGGGGCCAAGTATTTGTATAGAAGACATTTTACGTACCACACACCTCTGGAGAGAATTCACTCTCCTCGAGGTATAATCGATCCCCCTCCGTTCTTTGGTAGCCGCCCTTCAAAGGAAATTCGAGGAGGAGGGGGAAGCAAAACTCGATCGATTAGGCTCGAAAAGTTCAACGGGGGCTTACGATCGATTCGACGACCCTTTTGCTTCGGCCCATCGATCATCCATCCGTCCTCTTTCGAACCGCACCTTCGAAAGGATACACGTTCCTCGTTGAACATTCTGCGCTGATCGGTTGCGATCATTATTTCACGCATTTTACTGGGGAAAGAAGTCTCGCGGATCGGCTATTCCCGTTTCAGTAGAGTAGAGAATTACAATTTGAACATTCAAAATGGTAAAAATTATTTTCATTTAGGAAATTCTCTATAATGTGTCTAGTTTATTCGTGTACAATTATTATTTTAACTATAAAAAAGAAAACGCTACATAATGATAAAAGAACC